ATAATGGTATCAACAAAGAATTGGAACACAGGCCGCCCGAGCAAGAAGCTTGATCATCAGTGGGCGGGCCCCTTCCAGATCCTTGCAAAGGAGGGAAACGCGTTCCGGATTGATCTGCCAGACTCTATCAAGGTCCACCCAGTTATCAACCCAGAACACCTCCGAAGGGCCTCCACATCTGAACCCCTCCCCGGCCAGCACGCAGACGCACCACCACCGATCACTGTCAATGACCAAGATGAATGGGAAGTGGAAGAGATCCTTGCCTCCCGCCTGAGATACCGGAAACTGCAGTACCGAGCAAAGTGGATTGGTTATGACAACGACCTGAACTGGTACCCTGCCCGAGACTTCAAGAACAGTCCAGTGAAGCTGCAGATTTTCCACACGACGAACCCCGAAGCACCAGGTCCACCCTGTTGATTGCTTGAATGGCTCCGCGCGGCGGAAGATGAAGAGTTCCTGGATGACCATCCAGATGACGATTATCCAGTTCCGAAGGACTGAGGGCAGTCCTTCATCCGGAAGGGAGGGGGTAATGTCACGGAGTATGGGCATTCACCAACAACGCAAGATGTTTGTAAACTTTGGCCTGTTTGAATATAGGGCAGGAACCCCCTTCGCACACTAGATAGCGCAGCGCTGGCAGGCCCAGCTTCCTTCTTTCCTTCTCCATGTTAGTATTTCGATAGAGAGTCTACCAATAAATTTATATTGTTCGAGACTGTCACAAGCGCTTCTGGTTGAACATGGCAATGCACTACGGCCAGGGAGCCGCTGCAGCTATCATCAGAGCCCTTATGACGCAAATGGGATTTGCGGGCTATTTTCGGATTTCATGTTTATTTCTATACGACTGATGATAGACAAGACGTTGGAGAATGTGACGGGTGTTGGAGCGCTTCCACGGTGAGTTTGCCTTAGTATACACAAGGTGTCCTTAGAGGTTAATGCTGACGGGCTATGTAGGGCGTGGCCGGTTAACGAGCAGATCATTGATATTGTTCATAAGGCAGTCTTTGCGTTCGTGACGGGGTATTACACGGATAGATGGTTGCAAGGGCGATGAACTATCAGTGGGATGGAGATACTTTGAGCCGGGAACCAGAAATTTGTTGTAGCTATTCGAACAGGTACTATTACCATTATCTATTACCAGGGGTAGGAGCCTCCGGCGAGCACGCTGGATGAGAGCGCTGCCTCCAGCCCTCAGGATAATGAATTCTCACCTTCTTGTGGTGTCTGGTGTCAGTACTCATCATCTGCGTGAGGAAACCAAGAAGAATTCCCCTGTGGTGGTGATTGTGTGAATGTGTTGTTGTCCCTTAGTGCGCCCGCACCCGCCTGACTGCACAGAATGGTTGATGACAACAAGGAATAGATAAGGTTCCTGCCTGCCTTATCTCGCTATGGCCGTTGAATTATAATGCCATGACACGCTGCCATCATACTGCCATCTGATGGGGGATACAGCCTGTTGGTGAGCATCCCAGACCGGACGCGTCGATGACGCGTCTTCCATGCCATGATACATGTCTGCAAAAGGATGAAGATACTGAGGATTGCCTTGACCTTGTACTTCTGACGAACTCGTTTGAGAAGTGTTTTGACTACTTCACTCATGCCGATCTGCCTGCGGGAGACGCGCTGGTATCATACTGCCTACCTACCAACAACTAGCCACGCCGATATGCCTGCGACATGACTACCTACTCCGTGCCAAAATGCCTACAAGGATGACAGGATGGTATCGTACTATCATCTGATGGGGCCACAGCCTGTGGGCATGTCCCCGACCAGGCGTATTACCAACGCGCCCACCCTGTGTTGATTCTAGGCTATGAGACGAGAAGACAGTTGGGTTTCCCCTGACCTCATCATGCTATCCGACGACTCTGCTTGCAACGCATCTGACTCCCAGACTCGACCCGCCTGCGAGAGACACACTGGCACTGTACTGCCCAAATGCGAAGACTATGCTGGCATCACACTGCTCACCTGCCAACAATCAGTCGCGCGGCTGTGCCTGCGACTATCGACAATAGATTGTGCCGCTATGCCTACGATTGATTGGGCCAGTAGCGGCTGTGTTGTGGTACATATACCGAGTAGGCTCCCAGGTAAGGGTTTTGCTGAAGTTTTGCCCCCAAAACCGGGCGCCGTGGGTTAAATTCCCGCCGCCGACTTAAAATCTACCACGAAACGCTTGAATTTTACTAGCTCTGTCTAGTGTGGTCCTCAGACTCCTAGCTCACCTAGTTCCCGCGGGCAAGCAGCTTGAGCTGGCCAAGAATGCCACGATCATGAGGAGGGTATGGAAAACTGCAGGCGCCTCGAACCACAGCTATTGTAGCACCTAGAGGGATAACCTGCGATGAGTACTACCCAAATGCCCCACGCAAATAGGCGGAATGGGGTGAGGGAAAGGAAACTGAACAAACAAAGATGTATATAGAAACTAATTAGGAGCTTGTGTTCACGAGCTGCATTGTCTTTCATAGCCCATAGGGCTCGGTAAGGACAATAACTTGATTACTACTACCAGGGGTCGGATGATAAGAACAACCCGCCAGTGACAAGCCAAAGACACAATGTATTCGACCGCCGACTTGATTACGGGGATAGATCCATTTCAAAAGTCCCTTTTTGTTTAGAAATAAAAGCTTGTTCAACGTGTACTGGTAGTATGCCAGCTTCTTTGGACGTCATAGTGACGACTGCGCGACGAGCGAATCACCACCAACATTTTACTGTTCTTCGACCATCGTTTCCTGCTTTCGTACAATGCTTAAGAGCCTAGAACTGCATTCTAAGGGTCAAATAGACTATAGAACCGTCACTCTGACAGAACACTGACGTTGGGCCAGACCGATAGCAGCGAGACTGACTCATGAGGCATGGATTTATATCAGGGAAGCCTCTAGCTCATCATCGCACATTCGATGCCCAAATCGGCGGAATATGGCGACTCATCCACTTCAAGCAATCAGCCAAGCTGTCGGGACCACCGGCGGTGATCCTCGTCCCGTCCAACTCTCCTCCTTGTTCCAGGGCGCCAACGATGGCCCAGCAAAGGCGGCGGCCAAGCTAACAGGCGTTCAAGGCCCAGGCAAGCGAACAGACGATGGCCCCTATTTCACCAACAACGAGGCAATCCCTTTCCCTGACCCTGCTCATAGCAAAACCGCAGGCGGTCTGCCTCTGGCATCTGATGCCTTTCTGTTCCAGAAGCAGCAGCACTTCAATCGCTCGAAACTTCTGGAGCGCATGGTTCATCCTTGTTCGCTACGCCCCTTCTTTTGTATTTTGTTCTGGCAGCTAACCCTCGCAGGTGGAAGTGGTGCCTTTGGCCATTTCGAGGTTACCAAGGACGTCTCTAACCTGACCAAGGTAGGCTTCCCAGTGTCATACATAGCTAAATACTAAGATATACAAAGGCACACTTCCTGCGATCTCCCGGCATAAAGACCCCAGTATTCGTCCGGTTCTCCACCGTGACTCTGGGCCGAGAATTTCCAGATCTTGCCCGGAACCCACGGGGCATGGCCATGAAATTCTACACGGGCGAGGGGAACTACGACCTTGTTGGACTGAACTTTGTAAGGGCACCGAACCACGCTCACTTCAATGACTGACCCATATTGTGCAGCCCGTTTTCTTTTGTCGTGACCCTATCCAGGGCCCGGATGTTATACGATCGCAGGCCCGAAATCCGCAGAACTTCCTCTTGGATCATAACTCGCTCTTTGACCTGCTTGCCAATACTCCAGAAGGGTGTGCACCATCTACCATACCGCGCTGCAGTGTTTGAAGCTAGGTGCTGACGTATTTGTAGAAATCATGCGGGAATGATGTTTTTCAGTGACCATGGCACCCCAGTAGGGTGGAGAAACAACCACGGATACGGATGCCACACGTTTAAATGGTGTGTATACTGTGGTCTATTTAGAATGTCAATAATACTGACATTATACAGGGTGAATGCCAAGGGTGAATTTGTCTATATTAAATACCACTTCCTGGCAGATGGCGGGCAAAAGCAGTTTACTGCAGACGAGGCCTTGCGGCACGGCGGCGAAGACCCAGACTACTCAAAGCGTGATCTTTGGCAAGCGATTGAGAAAGGAGAGCAACTTACCTGGACTGCCCATGCTCAGGTGATGGAGCCAGAGCAGGCAGATCCTGAAAAGCTGGGCTTCGACCCGTTTGATGTGACCAAAGTCTGGCCAAAAAATCTTTTCCCGGTGCGTACCCTTTCTAAGCCACGTATGGCTGTGGACTTGACTAATGAGAAGCAGCTCCATGAATTCGGAAAACTGACCCTTAACAAAAACCCTGAAAACTTCCACCGTGACGTTGAACAGGCGGCCTTCTCCCCAGGAAGCATGGTGCCCGGCATCGAGGACGGCCCTGATGCACTTCTGCAGTTCCGCATGTTCTTCTATCGTGATGCCCAGTACCACCGAATTGGCGTCAACCTGCATCAGATTCCAGGTAAGGGCGAGTCATCACCTTGACGAGACTATCCACTAAAAGCGCGTCCAGTAAACTGTCCATTCATGGCGTCCTCCTATTCCTCACTCAATTTCGATGGCCCCCTGCGCGTCGACGCCAACCACGCCATGAACCCACAGTACGCACCCAACAGCTTCACGCACAAATTCCGGCCTGATACCGCCGAAGCTCCCTACCAGCTCGCCGACAATACAGTTGGCCGAAAATCACACTACTACCACGAAGGCAAAACATCTGAATATGACCAGCCTCGCGCACTGTACCAGAAGGTCATGGATGCGCGTGCCCGCCACCATCTCCACGAAAACACAGCGCGTCTGCTGAAGCTGGTCGAGTACCCTGAGATTCAGGTGAAGTACCTCGCGCAGGCCTTCCGGATTGCACCGGAATATGCAAGGGGCATCTACAATCTGCTCCCGGAAAAGACGTTCTCGTTCTCAGAGGTTGAGGAGCGGTCGGAAGGTGCGGAGCAAAATGGCAAGGACCCGAAGTTCTGTCCGAGCCTGAAGACGGATAAGTTGGCAGGGAAATGCCCTGCTGGGCCCGTGTACAATGTCTAAGGGTGTTTGCGCACCAGAATCGACTTGAATATTATTGTTAGGGAATATAAAGATGGTCTTTCACTGCAATGTAATGTATGACGGATCCTTCGCGTCGTGGCACATGTAATTTCTAGATTAACGATATATCCTTTACTGTACAATAGTGTCTGTATCGTTTACTAGCTCATCTGTGAATTCTACTGGCATTTTAAGATTGCCGCCGTCGCTATTATTGATGGCTTCAAGAGGCCATGACTACACAAGTTAGGCAACTTTAAGTAGAAGCAACTAAGGCCAGGAACGCCAACTATGCGAATACTACACACCCTGAGACAACGTATGATACTTAATATAAGTCTGCAAACGCAAGACGCCCTGATTTGCCACTGAGTTTTCTATGGGCCCCGCGCCCTCTATATATCTACTCGTCCTAGCCAGCACCAGCATAGCTCTAAACAAGTATTACGTGTACCAGGACGCTCATCCGTAACTAATCCGAGCAGGTTTCTCAATTGACCTATATTAGTCGACAATATGTATCAGAATGACGTCAACCTCACCTTCCCCTATTGAAGTGACCTGGCAGTTGTACCAGAGTTGTTCACGCTGGACAATGGTGACTTAATTCATGCCCTGGTCATCATCCAGGGAATGATAAAACCGTTGTTCCTGTCAGTCGGTGCACTTCCCCGTTCAGTCATTGAGTACTTAGTTTGATAGTTCACTTGCCGAGTTGCACCGTGGGTATATACAAGATGACCCATGACAGCCAAGGTACGGATTACATTCCTTATTGCCCATGGATCAATGCTGACATGCAGTGAAGAGCTTCAACCGAACCAAGGCTCTTCCTCTGGAACTGCTCCTCAATCTACCCAAGATGGCCAGGAACAGCAACAGGAAGAGCCCGGGCGGGACAGCAAAATGTTCTCCTTAGCCGGGTCCCAACCCCCATCACGAAACCAGCCAGTCGCCTATGTTGACCCCGAGTACACCCAGTACAACCCCCACTACAATGAGGAAAACCGTGAACCGGTATGGAGTTTAGCCCAACCACTACCTAGGGTCGTGCGCCCTGGAATGCGACCGGAAAGTGCGATCAAAGAAGAGGACAAAGAAGAGCAAGACAAGCCATCCAAGGACCATCAAGGGCCTGGCCCTGCCGCGCAAGAGCCACCAGCAGAGGTGCCACCCACTGATGAGCAGGAAGACCGTCCCGAAGCCAAAGTGGCCCGACCCGACGACCGGGGCTTTCACAACCGCTGGAGCAAATTGCGACACTTCTTCCGGCAGGAGCTGGCCGAGTGGATTGGCACAACCGTTGCTATAACTTTGGGCCTCTGCGCCAGTCAGTCCACCTACACCTCGAACAACCAAGCTGGCACCTACCCGTCAATCGCACTCACATGGGGCGCCGCCTACATGATTGGCATATACGTGGCAGGTGGCATTTCCGGCGGGCACCTCAATCCAGCCATTACCATCTCCATGTCCGTCTGGCGAGGATTTCCCCTCCGCAAGTGCCTGACCTACATTGTAGCACAGGTTCTCGGCGGCCTGACGGCGGGCGGACTCGCGTACGCCATCTACCATGACCAGATTGTCACAGCCGCCGCGACGAGAAAAGTACCCCAGAACCATTCCGCCGCCTTACAGGGACTGCTCACTTTCCCCAAGGACAATGTTCAGCCGGCAACCGCATTCTTCACCGAGTTCCTGGCAACGGCCGTCCTGGTCGGCTCGATCATGGCGCTGGGCGATGACGCCAACGCCCCGCCGGGCGCAGGCATGCAGGCATTTATCATCGCGATATTGATCAGTGCAATTTTTTTAGCCCTAGGCTACAACACTGGAGGGTAAGCTCGCCACCACAATGTCTGTCCTTGTCTGATTCTGAAGTGTAACTAACGTGTTATCCAGATGTTTCAACGGCGTGCGAGACTTTGGCCCTCGATTGGTAGCTGTCATGGCCGGCTGGGGCGGCCACGTTTTTCGGGACCACGACGTATGGTGGATCTGGGGTCCCTGGGCGGCCGTCATTACCGGAGGACTCTGTGGGGGATTTGCCTATGACTCTCTCATCTTCACCGGTGGCGAGAGTCCGGTCAATTATCCTCCACGACGGCGAAAGCGCGCGGCGCTCATTAAGGAGAAGAATATTCGGCGGAAATTGCGGTTCCGAAAGGGGAAAATTCAGGATATAGAGAAGGCGGTGCAAAAAACTGAGGAGTGACTACACTTGGGCATGAACATGAAGGGCCGTACGATGTACGTCGGCGGCCCAATTGACCAATTGGTCAGGATCAGTCAGAAGCTTTAATTCCTGCCCATTTTCGACGGGTGTCTATAATGATTTTCTTACGTACATAGTTCGATGACGGGCGCCAGGGTATCTGAATATAGCCCTCTACAATCAATCCCAGATGAAAAAAGGCTGCAAGGTGATAATTGTAAATATCCTGCTCCAGAATGTCATATCTTTGGATGGTCTCCTGAACGCGATCAACCAGCCCTTTATCAACTCAGGATCCTCACATTTGACACACTGGTAGTCATATTTGCAAGTATATTTGGATTTGAGCTCAGGACGGCGTCGAATAAACCGCTTAGCCCATAGCTCACCAATGGTGGCTTTCCCAGGGGATTTCAGCCGTGCAGATAGCAGTAATTGGGCAAGATAGCCGACATTTGATATCTGAAGAGGTAGGCCACGCTGATACATCTAGAATCCATCTACATAGTCTCTTCTTCAAGTTCTGGTAGTTTCCGACAATTGGTCGTCATTTCATGTCGAGAGGCCATTCCGTTCAGGCGATACATTAGTCCTTGGAATGACATCAAATGCCTTTGCAACTGCAGTTTTGGATTGAAATTGGCCTTGATTAAAAAAGGCCCCAATAGCTAGTTTTATTCGCTCCTCCTTGTCCACGATAAATATGATGATAAAAAAAGAAAATTAAAGAGTAGTATGAGGTGGGTTTAGGGGAAAGCCGCCGCCGACCGCGCAATTCGATAATATGCGCAACCCGGTGATAGATTACGTTGTCTAGATTTTATCAAAAAACCCGCCCCTACCTCTTGTTGAGCGTGCCTCGTTCGTACAGTATTTTAGATGCATAAAGGGAGTCATTGTAGGCCTCATAAAGCCCCGATCCTGAAGCATCACCAAGTAGTTCACTTAGTTGACGGGTTCGGCATACCAGAAGTATGCGGCCATTTTCGGAACAAATCGGTTAAATGGTCAATCGGCGCCGTCATAAGTCCAACTGCAGTCTCGAAGGGAGGCTTGTCAGGAGCAGTGGGGTGCGAACGCGACGGAACGAACATCTTAGTCCTGCCAAAGGAATTGAAAAGCTCTTCACTCTCCTCGGTTGCCAGGGCGTCTTCCAGTTTCAGGAGGTCATTGCTCTCCTCTTCCTTGATGTGCTCGGAAAGATCCTGCATCAGGGCTTTGATGGTAGATTCAAACTGGGGTTCTGAAGGTTCCATGTTCTGGAATTGCTTCAGTTGTTCTTTGACCTATGGCGCATCATTAGCTCGCTGTAAGACGAGGGGGGCCAAAAGCTGATTCACCGATTGATGCTCTTTACGGTCCTTGTCTGCCATAGCGCGGCCATCAAGGAGCTTCTTCTCGAATTGCGGGTAGACAACCAACTCCTCGCCGATTGAGTGACGGGCCAATTCCCAGGTGAATTGGTTTTGCCATTGGATCTTTTCTTTCTCAGTGTTTGCGTTAAGGACCTTGTTGTAATAGTCCTCGAGCTCGCGGTGGTCTGTCTTGATCGCGTCAATGATACGGGGCGCCATGGCGACGGATGAATGGGATATTGGGCGGCGTTGATTTGAAAATGTTAACTGCTCTAGAGACGTGCGAGTAGATTGTAAGAGACGGCGGGCTGTCATTTCGAAATGTAGAACAAGGTTACAAGCGCACAGGTGCAAACATGAATGACTAGTATCGCTTATAAGCGCAGTATGTAGCAGGACGTCATTGTGAGACATACTGTCTCCCACTGTGGCTGCAATGGCCTAGCCAGTGAGTGTATCGCGATCGAGACTTGAAAGGGAGGCATGATTGTGGGACCCTGGTTGAACTGCAGATGTGGATGGCTGCCCACTCAGGCTCAAGGTTTTATTCAGCGTCATCATCACAACGTAATGAAGCCAATTGTAAGATTTATTACTCTCCACGTGGAGTTGACGTGCTGGAATCTGGTCCACAGAAAATACAGCAATGATTGACCGGGATCCGAATCATTGGCGGGGTTTGTGTGATGACTCCATCAACATAGTATCATTCCTGTTAACACTCGGCGTGCGTATGGTAGTAATATCCTGATCACTGACTCAGAGTATTTTAGCGTGATGAGATCTGATAGGTCGGATCAAAGGGATAACATTAGTCCGACTAGCGAACCTCCGATATATGGCCAGCGTTCGCCACATATAGAAAGACAAGCACTCATCAAGCACTCAAGCACCCGTGTACTCTAGGCTACATTAGATAGAGTATATCAATCGTTCGTTTTAATTGGGTCTTCTACATATAGGCCTCGTGCAGTCGGATAATCGACTCCTTCGGTTTCCCCTGAACCTCCGACGGAACCCATTTCATAGCGGACAGCGATCGGAACCAACGTTAGACGAAAGTATCTTGGAATGCCGAAGTACACCAAGATGGTATTTAGGTCACACAACTGCCAAGCCAACTGCGTTAAGCACTCTTCACTTGCACATCCTGAAAAAGAATTCTAACTAATCTGCAACTGACAGCAAATCTAGTGGGATTCCACATAATACGACCCCCTTCCAAAATGCGCAGATCCATCATTCACCTAAATGTGGCGGTTTGATTTTGGATTATGTTACCTATTTATCTAACTGAGGTACCACCGTCACTCGACAAGGCTGCTATCAATGCTGCCCCGACACCCGAGCCATCTTCGGCCAGACAGAGTTGCACTGGATCCTCCGAATCCTTCGGCCACTCTAGGATCTCCCGCAAAGCTGTAGCCGCCCGCTGCTGAAAGCGAGGGTATTTACTAAATGCAGAACCATCTACTCCAACCCGGCATTGCTTAATACCTCGTTTCTTGCAGATAGCAGCTATGCCACAAGCATAGAGTCGCGCCGCCCGGGTACAGACAATTTCCGCCACACGGCAGCACACCCAAAGCTCCCACTCGGGAGGTTCTATCCCCAACACTTCTTTTAGAACAATGCGTGTTTTCGCTATGCGTTCCGGGAGTGACTCATCCTCTTCCATTTTGGAGAGACAGGACGATTCCATTGAATGTCTCTGTTGCAGGCGGTGGACTTCCAGACCACTTAGGAAATCAACCGTTTGATGCAGGTGGCAAAGGATCAAGCGAACGAGTTCACCAATGTATTGACCAGCCACCATCTTTTCGTAGGTCTGTTGACCTGGTCGTGGAGATAGGCGATCGATTTCTTCGTCAAATGATGTTCGGGGAAGTGTCTGATGGCTGTTATCGAAGGCACCATATTCAGTATTGATAACCACATTCATATCAGTGGAAAACTCTCTGGGACTGATCTTGGAGATGCAGTTCTTCTCTTCCATATAAGCGGCATTGCAACCAGTACCAAAGATGCTTCCAACCTTGGTGTTGCCATCTTTATAGGCAGAGGCAATCAGTGTGCCTGTGGTATCATTGACTAGGGCAACCACCCGGATGGGCAAGTTCTGTCAAAATAAGTGAGCATGTCTCTATAGCTTTCGCTGTTGCTCATCACCTTGATAAGCCAGACTTACCCTCCTCTGCAGGACATTCTCTAACTCAGCGACAACATTTTTACCTTCCACACCAGAGATATTTAAGCCCTTGGTCCAGCGTTGCAGGAGGCCATGTCGGATATTATGTTGAGTCACAGGATAAGAAAAGGTGAAAGCCAAGGGAAGCTCTTTTGAACTTTGATGCAGCCCACGCTGTTGAAGGAAATCCTGCAGGCAATCCGCAATGTAATCCCAAAGCTGGCTTCCAGTGCCAGTTTTTAGATTTTCTGACAGCATATATTTGTCCTGTGTAATTTTATATCCACCTTTTTCCTCTGTCAGAAGCACGTCGCAAACGCGGAGATTTGTTCCGCCTATGTCAACAGTCAAGTATCGGCCTGTCTCATTACCGGTTGGGAAGCGAGTGACCCACGTCACATTCATCGGCTGTCATAGCAGATTAGTTTGGGGGTTGCAATGAGTTTTTATGCAAATGCTAGAGGCTCTTAACATACAATGTCACTGTCATCTGAGGTGAGACCTAAGCATCATTAGTCCAGTGGCGCGGTAATTGTTTTTATAAGTAACAAACCTTTTTCGAGCTCTTTCACAAGATGGTCGGTTATATACTGGAGATTGTTCGTGTCAACAGTGAACAGACCCTGGATGTGCTCAACATTCATGGCCAATTGTCGGGGAATATCTGCCCGAGCATATCAGTCCCCCTGCCGCCTTCATGTGAAGGAGTCGTCTCACCATCACCTACCTGCGAAGCCTTCGTCCACCCCTATGGGCACATGCGGTTCTTTCATGGTGTTTGGCTTTTGAGATTCACTGCGGGTGACTTGAATCCAAGGATGTATGCTTGTGATTGACTCGTGCGAGGAGAAATGAAAAAGGATACTATATATTCTGCAAAGACATGGCATGAAGTCTCCCTGTGGCTTCAATATGACGTACTCAAATTTTGCTAGATAATCTATTCCTCAACTTCCAGTGATCGCCATCGTCAATATTGGAAACCAGCATACCAGCTTCACAGACAGAGTATCTTTCATGAATTGCCAAGTTCTCCTTGCTAACTGGGCTGAGAATAGAAACTTACGGGCATTGTAACTCCTGAAAGGTTTCCCGCCCGATTGCAACTATTCGCAATGTTAGTCATTCTCATTATAGGTTTGGCTGCCTTTACACTTTGGCTCGATGTGCTTTATCTCCAGAGAGAGCAATTCTGCATTTGAGTGGCTCCATACAAACTTGTTCGACAATCGCCACCCATTGGTGGCGTAAAGATGATGTAGGTACTGTCACGGCGCTCTACTAGGATAATGGAACATCCAACTCATGGGTTCCACCTAGGTAGCTATCGACGAGAATAATCAACACGAAGAAGGAAGAAAGGAGGTGACACCGAATTTATCAACAAAGTAAACTGATGAAAGTCGAGGTGGATCGATAGTTGGTCCGATTACCGAGGCCGACAGATCCCTCATCTACGGACACACACACACTCGTTTAGATAGCTAAGCACTCATTCTACCATCTACGGTGTCTATAGATATCATTGTCACCCTCCGTGTAATCTGAATTTCCTCATAACCTCGTGCAGTCCGGATAATCGACTCCCCGACTTCCCCGACTCGGAGTTAGCCGCCTTATTGGTTTATCCGTTTCAAGACTCCCCGCGTAATCACGTGAGATTAGTGCCTTAGGTATCTGTAATACCCGCATACAAACGGGTAAGTCAACTCCAGCTAACTGCTTGGTAAGTGGCTTCTAAATGCTGCTGCCACTGTAGAACGGTGATGGCTCTGTCAAAATTCAGTATTGAGAAGATTTTTGCCGTGTGCCCGACTGTTCCAAAGCTCAGGTAAGTGGTTGCAGACTGGTTGTTGAGTACTTACTAACTGGTTGGTGGTTGATTAGAAGCGCTACACAGCAACAAACAATCTCCACACGCACATTAAGTCGCATGAAGGTGTGGAACTCCAGGAGGGGAATGCTGGGGGTCGGGCCGCGCAAAAGGTGATTGACAAGGCTGTGTGTGAGTGTGTCGCAACCTGGCTTCCCTTGTATCGTACCTAGGGTTCTAGTTAGTTTAGAGTGTCACGGACGGCCCCGTGACCCCGCCCCGAACCCGCCCCGCTGATTCTTGGGGCGCCCCGTTGGGGCGGGCTGAGTTGGGGCAGCGGGGTTTGGGGGTGCCCCAGGGCCCGGTTAAGCCCCATTACAGAGCCAAACATATAGTATTGTATGGTATCTATACTGTGTAATGATTACATGCTTACTCTGTACGCTGTGCTCCTATGGTTGCGAGTTACCCTATTATTTTATGAAGAATCATGTTATGCTCCGATGAATTTTGGCCTTGATGATAATTTCTAACTGCGGTAAGAATGCCTTGGAATTTTATATAACTATCTTGAAATCCTCGAAACTCCCTACATCTTCTGGTGTCGACAATGAAGGGGAATGTGACAGTCTCGAACAATATAAATTTATTGGTAGACTCTCTATCGAAATACTAACATGGAGAAGGAAAGAAAGAAGCTGGGCCTGCCAGCGCTGCGCTATCTAGTGTGCGAAGGGGGTTCCTGCCCTATATTCAAACAGGCCAAAGTTTACAAACATCTTGCGTTGTTGGTGAATGCCCGTACTCCGTGACAGTACTGGTCAAAGACCCATTGGAGCTTCCTAGCACAGTCAAGCATCAAGAAAGTAGAATTCCAGCGCGTGTGAACATCTTGAACTGGAAAAAGCTTTGGCACTGCAGTCTGTAGAGCCATAAAAGCTTCCCGGCGCTGTGGACTAGCATTGATGAACACAGCTAGCCCATGAATCTAGATATAGTAGTAGTTAGCACTATCAAGGAAGTGTAAGATACTAAGCTAGACTTACCTTCTTTAAAGTTTGTTGGTTTTGATCATATCACACATCAACGCAATAAGCCAGTGGTAGCCAGTCGCGCATTAGGCGAACCATATGAGCAACTCAAACATTTCTGTTACAATCACGAAGCAGAAGGAACACCCTCAAGGCCAAGGTCCTTGGACAATGCGATACGGTGGAGTAGCTTGGAGCAGACCTCAAAGCTCGGTCGACATGCAAGGTCATGGTTTGCTATGTGGTGGAGCCAGCAGAGTGCCTTTTTGCAGCTTGAGAAAACTGCACTGAGAGATTCAGTTGTATCCATTTCGCTTGTTTGCTCACTGCCTAGGCCCGTCTGCACAGGCGCGGAGTTGACGCTGAGATGAACAAGCAAAACATTTATTGCTTGTATAATGAAGTGCCGCATTGTCCACCAAGGTGATATGGTATAAAACCACTGTTGACTAGGCTCGTCTGGTAAGACTGAAATAAGTAACAGCGCCGAGCGCAAACAGGTGATAGCCGCATCATTGCTGAAATGACTTCTAGGAAATTCGAAATCACTGTTCTTTCGGAGCCCAGATCGTGAGAGGCATGGGCGGTTGATCAGAATGCGAGTGCTATAATAGTACAAAGCAAGACCGACTTGTTCGCGCGTTGAAATATGTTGGAGCAGCTCACCCTCGCTATCAGCAAAAGCGAACGACGTATGAATGGTGGACAACCATTGAGTCAGCTTTTGTGAATATAGCTTGATTGAACTTTCTACTTGGTCCCACTCCTTCCACAGTGTAGGCACTCCATATATGCGACTGCTAATCATGCTGGCTATGTGTGACAGGTCCATCTGATAGGTGAAGTAAAGTGATGAGTTTGGTCTGATTGACTGTAGCTGTTCAAACCGTGCTTTCGTCTGCGAATTGTTTTCAAACAAAGTCCAGTTTGCAATTCTCTCACGCTCTGAATCATCATTGAGAAACCGAGACGCTGGGAAAGATGAGAATGAGCATTCACTGTAAGGGAAAGGCGGATGAACAGAAAAGGTTCCATTCAAGCTTGATGGTCTTCCAGTCATAGTCGCAAGGGAATGTTCAAGCATGAATATTGAGCACCAAAGGCGACACCGTGACTCTTTGCATATGGAATCTGTCTTGTCATCTACATTACGCAGATTGATTCCAAGAGCGATTGCTGAGCTCGATGCAATACGTATCATCTTCCAAGCTCTGGAACGTTGTCAGTTAGACCGCTGTTTACAGTAATTGAGGGCAAGTAATGAGAGCTCACCTGCCAACTTGTGATTGTACAAGAAAGTAGAACGCGATCAATGCTTCAATCTGTACTAGCTGAAGGTCTGAATGACTGTATATGATGTTCTCATTTGCACTCAGCATTCTCGCTCTGGAGTAGAAAACCCTATCTTCAGTCCCACCATGCATTTCTTTTCCAACCACCGCGCAATATCGAGAAGCAATCGCGAATATCATGTTCAAAATAGAAAGCCACTTATTTCCGGTCTTGGATATGGCTTAGCATAGAACCGCTCATACTGAGACAAGAAGAGCGACCTTCGAACAATGGAAAAGTGAATATTGACAAAGTTGAAATAGATATCACAGTACTTATCAGCTGTATGTCTCGGTGGCAAATCATACAGGTTTAACTGCTTGGACTTAAGCATCAGTGCCTCATTTGCATGGTAGCACTCAGAGGTAATATGGTTTTCATGCGAAGTTCCTGAGCTGGTTTGCCTGGGTAGTGCATGCCCTGGACGGCTGCAACTCTCAGTTTCAATATGCAAGTTTTGTAACTGCGATAGCTCGGAGGTTTTCTCTAAAAAACCCGTTGCTCTGCTTTCTTCATTTCGGCTGATGTCTTCATTTATGACGCCTTCGGCGTCGGAAGACCACATTGATCGATATGAGGAGCTGCTGTCTTCATGACTGAGACTGGGAGCATCTTTGCTTTGCTTTGTTTGGGGCTATATACTCTGGTCAGATTGGCTTGTTTATTCTGCTGGATGCGATAACAGACCTCTAACACCTGGTTGATATCATCAACGATATAGCCCGCTCTTTCAGAAAACTTGAGCAGCAAAAACTTGTATTTTTCATTCTGCTTCTTCAATTGCTGAAACTCCTCCTTGTTTATCTCTTGCTTGGACAAAGGATAAATGCAATCAATCTTCATACTCAGACAATGCCTACAAGGCTTCTCGCCGCTGCAACGGATTTTGCGATCGCGGCATACCTGACAGGCACGCCTGGCTCGTTGGCGATGTTGTGATGGTAGTAGGGGGCCAGCGCGCGGAAGGATGACTCTGTCTGCACTGGGGTTGAAGGAGGAAAATACAGCTTGAGATGAGGGTTTTAGCAGAGGATCCATGATGTTTGCCAATGACACGAGGAACGGTTGTTTGTTCCTTGAGAAATATGAGTGGCGAATGGGGTATAAATAGTCAGATGTGGGGCGGGATTTTCATAACAAACCAGTTATTCAATGCAGACAAGCTGTTGAAGTAATGCATCTTCATCAAGTTCTCATATAAGGAAGTTCATCTGTAGACCCATGACTGGCCTCATTGGCGCCCTTACTGTAGTACTATTCAATCATAATTGGTGACAATGATATCCGGTATTACATTGTAATCGAGCTACGCTTGAAATATGATTTCTCATATTGACTGTTATCATTGCCTTCTATCATTGGGTCATAAGAATTACCGACCTCTTGATATGCCCTGGATAAAGACTATTCAGTTGGATCTGCCCATCTCTTCCTTTCTGGAGAAGACCCAGCCCCTCATCCTGTCACGGAAAGATCTGTAGACCGAACCGCCGCTCTATGGATGAGTTGTAATCTGGGTTGCCATTTCCTTATTGGCATTCATACAGCAAGAATTAGACAAATTAGCAGAGCGCCCCAAGCAATAACCGCACAATCCCATCATATTAGGTCCCGCGCTCAGCTGGTTCATTATTGGCTCTGCAGCGCCGCTCCATACCAAGAAATGCCAGGGATTCGTATTGCTTATGACCAATAGGAGTAGTGCCGCAAACGGGGGCATGGATGTAACAATACTAGCCATGACTGCGGCTGCAAGCGGAGGATCAGCGAAAATTCAGTCTTTGAAATAACACAACAGAACTGTTGATGCCTTTAAAGCCCTTTACAACCAATCAGTAATACATAACACCTTCAAAATCCTGTCACAACAATCGACATTGAAAATCCCACCCTTTCGGCGGAAATAAATGGATATGAATATCCGACAGGGGTGGTTGATGAAAGTAAATGGAAACGAGCCGGTAACTCTATGTTTCACTGTCAAGCCTATTGGGTGGATATCAGAGCTCGGTACAATTGTTATGCCACGTCTTCCGGAATATAATCATAAATTGAAACTGGTTGGTCTGAGGGTTTCAGTCCATTGTGATTAGTGGAAGAGAAAGCCGTTGTGACAATACCGGGGGAAAATCCAGTAAATCTATGGTTGACATCAATGACATTTACTGTGGAACAACTCCGCCTGCTTTTTGGTAATAGTCTCTTCATAGGATGGAAATCTCATAGGGTCCCCTAGAAGACTGTTTCTAAACTCAGAGTGTAACACAAAGCCGTCTCCCCGCTTCCCATTGCATTGGCTCATTGGGTCCATGATTCATTGATGTCAACTGCTCTGAGTATCAGTACTCGTGCAGCATCATTGTCCGGTTTGTGCTCTCTGCCCCTTAGGATGCTAGTAACAAGCAATTAAATTATCATAACAATCATGGCTTTATGATTTCTTTTCGGTTCCAGGATAGTGGCGGGGTTGATATCATATTTGCTGAGGATTTTTGAAATCAGCGAAAATGGGGATCTTCAATTACCCAATGACGAAGCTCAGTATCTTATCAAATAATGTAGTAATGGACATTCCCACTCTAGACTGCTGATTGGCTTCCAATATTCTATCTCACACTTCCGGCTGTTGTATAGCTTGTCCCAAAGATACAGGGTGTTCTAGTCCAGAATTTATTTAAGACGTTTTTGCCTGGGTTATTGTGGCCTTGATTGTTTGTTCTACAATCTGTCACTGTGAAGTCACAGTCCTGCAATCTGAAATTCTAGTATTCATGCACATTTCCTAGACCTTTGCCTCTTACCACCTGTCATGTCCTCCTCTGTTGACATTCAACCATCATGCATACCCATCAGTGATTCTTGGAGTCCCGCCCTCAATCTTTCGCCTTCAAGTGGTCCGCTTGGGTTTTGTGATTTGATGTCATCGGCTTTCCCAGCACAAGATCTTCAAATCAGTCAGGATTTGTATGTTCCCGGTTGGAAATTGGACTCGATTCGTGATAGCGATCAGTCAATTCTGGAGAATGAAACAAACGTCCCTCCCCAAATGCCACTGTGCGTCAACTACTTAACTGAATGGAATAATTGCGAATTGTCCGATAACGGCTCCCTACCTGCTACGGATAACAACTGCCTCAAGAACCGGCCTGGTGTGACAAAGCCAGCGCAGATAGCCGGAGAAGGTGCATCACGGGAGAGGTTTCTGGAGCGAAACCGTCAGGCAGCCAGCCGATGTCGACAGAAGAGGAAAAAACACATGCAGCGCCTGGAGTCTCGGTTCAAGGAGCAATCAGAGAAGCATCAGCAGCTCCAATCTGAATTTCGGTGCCTCCGATTGGAGATTCTCAGTCTCAAAAACGAGGTGCTGAAGCATGCGGACTGTACAGATAATCATATTACTAATTATTTACAGCAGATGGTCGAGAGAGTAAGTCTACCAATGATGATGAGTTGTGTGCTGCACAATTGAAAATTTAAGCTAAAAGATTATAGACCAAGGTGCACTGTCGTGAACAACAAGTAAAGATATCCAGTGTTTGTAACTCCTCAGGCCTGGACCATTCAACAGAATCGCTCAACGAATGTTCGCCAAATGCAGATTTAGATGAATTTCTCATGTCAGAATGATGGCATTTACTTCTCCGAGACTGCTTGGTCTTGAGCATCTCTTTTTACATAGATATAATAAGTGTCTTCTATCAATAATTTGTTGTATTAAAGTGTGGTAAATAAGTCGCTTGTCATGTTCCTGCTGAATAGTGGTCTTGGCTGTTGTAAGTGTTACGCGTGTCATGGGCTTGAAAACTAGTAGATTTAGTATGTAGAATTTAATGCAATATCCGACGATTCAAATTTATGATCGCTGCAGCAAGTACGAGTTATTCGCCATTGTGAACCAAATAAGCTACTTGCTGTCTGTCAAATTTTAACTACTAATACCACCCTGCCAGATCCTCGAAGCGAATTCACTTTACCTAACCAAGTGTGACGGCCTGGTCATGTTGTCTGGCTATCAAGTGAGATGCAGTTGTTTGCTTTGTTGATAAATACAGTGTCACCTCCTTTCTTCCTTCCTCATGTTGATTATTCTCGTCGCTAGCTACCTAGGTAGAACCCATGAGTTGGGTGTTCCATTATCCTAGTAGAGCGCCGTGACACCAAGTGTGAGGGCACCGGTAAGAATCACCACATCCCATGAGAACTAGCTTTCCCTAAACCATCTCCTACATAAAATATTCAACTTATTTTCGGTTCAGCTTCGTTTAAAGACTTCCATGGAAGCTTACAATTTGACTCACAAAGATCCACTCCGCAAACGAGCAGTGACGGTGGTCGAGAAGATAGCAGCGGATGCAATTGCCCGCCACTGCGAGACTATGGGAGTACTACACCCAGGACAGATGGGAAGTCGCAAGCAGCGAAGTGCAATCGATGCAGTGGCATGTCTAATACAGAACACCCACAAAGCCTGGAAACTCCGGCAGCTGGTGGGAGCGCTATTCCTTGATGTAAAAGGAGCATTCGACCATGTGAATCCAAGGCGACTGATAACTCGACTGATTGAGTTCAACCTGGATGGGGACCTGGTCCGATGGGTTCAGTCCTTCCTGACTGACAGATGGGTTCAGCTGCAGATTGACAACACACAGTGCCCAGCACACCCAATCAACTCAGGAGTGCCACAGGGCTAGGCTGCGGCAGCATCCAACAGATCATATGATATCCAACTATCACATCCGCAGATTGCGGACTTGGATGCCAATTTGACATTCAACCATCCGCAGCGATGAGACTTGGATGTCCAACTCGATCTGTTGGATATCCAAAAGATATCCAACAGTATATCAAACACTACAAATATGCCAAGGCTCATGACCTAGAGGAGACTGCATAGATTATGCATTCTTCGCGGTATTTTTGACGTATTCAGTGTGTAACTGATTTCCTCGAAATCATTCTGGGAACTATTTCTTTATTTAATGCATTTTGGTCGAGATGGTGGTCAAGCAGTTCTTTATTTAATGATTTCCGAGGAAATAAGCTGGAAAGGAATTCTTTGGTAAGATTGATTTCAGATGAAATGCAGTTCCTTTGGTCTTTTCTGCAGAGAAAAATTCTTACTACTATTACAGTCTATCAATCTCAAATCCATCCGGCAGCTTTGGCTTCTTCCGAATTCTGCCTGACCGCGCCTGCGTGCTCCTGTTACAGACCTAGCCACTGTCGGAATATAGAGGTTCCTTACCGAACAATACCAACTGATGCCTGATTGATGCCTTGCTGATATCATATGGCGCAAAGCAGCGTATTTACTCTTCTATTACTGCTTTTGAAACTGCACAATCGCTTAGTATACTCTATAAGGTATTTACGGTCGTATATAGGATCCTAGCTAGCACACTTTTGCAAGAATTAGAGACCTCAACCATATACGCTTGATACGTACTTCCAACCCTGACTAAGCCACATTTCCGACAGCCACATCAGTCTCACGTGACTATGCGGGAAGTCAAGGCAGAATCATTGGACCATAGGCAATGATGGAAATGCAAGAAGAGACAAGGATCAGGCTGATATCTGATCATATCCGTCACGTGATCGTTTATCACGTATACTCCTATGATCTATGATAGCGGCAGTATATCCAGTATACCATCATGACTGACTGTTATTGGCTATACCCAATATACCGTGGAGGCACGGTATAGAAATGATATACAGGCGGACAATATATAAGGACACTCATTCATGTACTTAGTTTAGTTCTTCGCAATCAATTCAGTTAATCAAGCATTGGTTACCTTCTAGTTTCTGACTCGTCCGCACTTAACCAACAACCCAGCATACGTGCTCGGTTGACCTTGTTTCTCTATTCGTTACCTTTACCGATTCTACCTGTTGACTACCTTACGGAGCCTGGAGGGGGCGAGATACCTTCGACGTGATATACAGAGGACCTGGATGGTCATTGAGCATATGAGTGCTTGGAAGACACTTAGGGTAAGTGTCCTGTCTCGAAATACAACTAACTAGAACCCTAGGTACGATACGAGAGGAGCCAGGTTGTGACAGGTAAGTGTCCTGTCTCGAAATACAACTAAGTAGAACCCTAGGTACGATACGAGAGAAGCCAGGTTGTGACATCATGTTCATGCTCTTTCCAAAAGAGACGAGGGTGCCCCTTGGTAAGTCCTAAGGAATGGGTTAGTATTAGAATAGCATAATGGATAGATGTGCTAACCTTTAGCGAGATATCACGTGATCTCATCCTCTGTGTCGGAATATAGAGGTTCCTTACCGAACAATACCAACTGATGCCTGATTGATGCCTCGCTGATATCATATGGCGCAAAGCAGCGTATTTACTCTGCTATTACTGCTTTTGAAACCGCACAATCGCTTAGTATACTCTATAAGGTATTTACGG